ACAACTGAAAGACTGCAGAGACTGCTAAAAGACAACTGAAAGACTGCTGGATCACTGTTGAATGACTGCTAAGACGGCTGAATGACTGCTGAATCAGCCAAAACTGAATTGTTTGTTAAAACAAACAGTATAAAACTAAAATTAGCAGAACTCTAGCTAAAAGTTAAAATAGGTAAAACGGCAGCAAAAACATCAAATCAGCACACAGTAGACAGAAGCTAAAATAAAGAAAGCACTAACTAAATAAAATCTGAACAGTAAGATATTTTTAGTCTTATAAGGGCTACAAAAAAAATATCAACTAAAAGTCAAGTTATTAACTAGTTAATAACAAGTTAAAAACTCAAACACTTCTAAAGAGTTCTTTAGTTCGTTGTTTGCCAAACGACTGAATGTGTTTTGTTTTTACTTTTTTAATTTACCCTTTATTTATCCAGGTAGTCCCACTGAGTCACAATAACTCATTTTCAAGAGACTTTTTTTGGGAGCAGATGGTGGAGGTTAAGGGCCTTGCTCAGGGGCCCAGAGTGGGGCGAATGAGGGTGGAGGCAGGTGTGGGGGTTTCACCTTTACCACCCACATTTTGATGTTGACGGTACCGGGAGTTGAACCTGCGACTTTCCGATCACAGGCCCATCTTCTAACCTCTGCGTCTTCAACCCCCCCAGCAGTTCCAGTGAAGTGAATCCCGAGCCGCGGCCTCCATGGAAGTGCAGCGTGGGCGTGCCTCGGTCGTTCGTCACGGACGCTCATGGAGTATCCGTGGAGCATTAATCATCACAGTCTGTCCCTAAACCTCGGTGTGACTTTCAGCTTTACATGCCTGCTTTGTTCAGAATCTGTTCAGCTCAGTCCACGCCAAGTCGTTGTGATGCTCCCTCCGTTTCCATGGAAACAAGCTCTAATTTGATGAAATGAATGATACAATAACTTCAAGGGCTGCCAACACTTTCAAACGAGACAAACTGAAAGTCACAAAAGGCTCGTGATCTTTCCGATTATCCAGCACTAATAGATTTTTACAAGCCTTTATTTTTATCTTTGTGGGGTTTTTAAGCCTAACTGAATGGTGATGTTAGTTTACGGAAGTCGTTACACCATCAGGCTGAAAAACAGGCCGAAGAATGTGCACCAAGGTCAGTAGAGTTTCAACTATCAAGACTTTCAGCTTAACAGATCCTCTTAGGACAGACAGGAATAGCTCTGGTCTGAGGTGGTCTTCTGCTAAACCATGGAGGAACAAGGTTCAGCAGCTCAAACACAATTTCATTTAAATACAAGACCGTCTGGAAAAAGACTCCGTAATGAGCAGAACTGACTGGTTCTTTGACGATACAACAGCTCTGAACTGACTGGTT